TTTCCAGATCCTCTTTTGTTGCCAGTTCAGGGAGTCCAGGTGGTTGAGTATCAGAGTGTTCCATCTCATTTCCCTTTGGGGTTGCTGTAGGTCTCTGGAAGTCTGGTTTTGAAACTTGTTTACTTGTCTTCTCATTTTGACCTGGGTCGGGGGGGGGGATGTTGTTGGCACGTGCATGGCTCAGCTCCTCTGAGCTGGGAGTGGTGGGATAGTGGCTCAGAAGCCCCTTCTTCTGGGCTGGTTGTGGTGGGATGGACAGTGGTCTGGAAGCCCCTTCCTCTACAGGCTTAGAAAGTCTTACCTCAGCCAGGTATTTAGCTCAGTGGTTCCACCACCTGCCTTGCAAGGGCAAGGTCCTGGGTTCGATCCCCAGTACCAAAAAAAAAAATCTTACCTCAGAAGTGGTAAGTGTGGAGTCAGGCTGGCATTGTCACTTGTTAGTCAGAATAGGGACATTTGGGCCACCCTCTTGATTTCATCTGTGTTCAGACATATTTTGGAGTGGGCATGGTCACTGAGCACTGATGTCTAATACTCTGCAGCACTGGTGATGGGGAACAGGAGGATTCCGTGTCCTCTGGTGATCATTGGTCCACTCCTGGCTTTGGACACTATTTTTTTGTGGTTGTTTATTTATTTATTTATTTATTTTTTGTGGTACTGGGGATTGAACTCAGGACCTTGTGCTTGAAAGGCAGGTGCGGTGCCACTGAGCTAAATCCCCAGCCCTCTGGACACTGTTTTTAAGCACTGTGCTAGGTTGGCTTTCTTATTTTGAAGAAATAATGATTTAGTGTTCTGGCAAGAATAATAAAGGAAGATTCACAGGACCTTGTTTGTGTGGTTTTGAGGATAGCACTTTTGGGTCAGGTCTCACAAACACGTATTTGTTTTTTCAGGGTTTTTTTTGTTTTTGAGAGTCTTACTGACAAACACCTTTTTGTGCAGGAACCTGAGTCATTAGCAGGAGTTTGGTTGAAAGGTGTGCAAGGTGCTACTGTGTGGAGCAAGGTCCCAAGGGTGGGGGGGCTTCGACGCCTGGGCTGGGCACTTGGCACTGGTGCTGAGATGGTTTGGGATCTGTGGTACTGTGCTATTCTCTTGAGCCTGACCTCTCTTGGGTTCTTGCTCTACTGGAGCCGGGAGTCTATTTTAAAGAAAGCGTGAGTGCCAGTGACACTTAGTACAGGAAGTAAGACATGAAGGTAGTCAGGAGCCAAGGAGCAGGAGAGCAGTGCTCATGAAGGACAGGTCTCACTGGCACCGGGTGGCTTTAGTGCCCTGGCCACTCCACACTCTCTGCTACCGACTCCTCACTGACTGCTACCATCCTGGTGACCTGAGCTGAGACCTTCCATTCTTTCTCACCCTATTCTCTTCTAATTTGGAATCCTCACCAAGGAAAAGCACCAGACCCCAAAGAGTGGCATTAGTTTTTTGGAGACTCCTGTCAAAGTACAGATGTGGCAGACAGATAGTCAGGGAGGCTGGAAGGGCTTTCAAACCCATTTTGGAGAACAGGTAGGTTTGAGCTAGCTGGGTGGGAAGCTGATGAATCTCAGAGTATTCTACAACTTGAAGACTAGGAGAGGGACTGACTGTGCCTCTTGGGAGGGGGCAGAAGACAGCAGTACTGAAGGACATGAGGGTCATAGCGCTAATACAGGACAGGACAGGGAGGTTACACCAGATCTCTGGTGTGCTTGGGGACCAGATCCTAGATTTGGAGGCCGGGAATGAAACACAGGATACACGTGGGGTGCCAGAGCATGAAAGTGCTCCATTTCAAAGAAAGTGTAAGTATCATATCGATGAAATCATGGGTTCAGCAGAAGCAGCTCAACAATTTCTCCTGGAAGGAAGGGCATGGCTGGGTGCTTCTCCTTCTTTGCTTTGACTTTGATATCTGTAACCTGGCAAGGAGTTCACAAAAGAAGGCCTTTGTGAGGAGGCCCAGAGCCACAGGAAAGGCTAAGGAAACTCCCAAGGGATACATATGGCGAGGCTTCTGTGCTTCTGCAAATTCCACTTATAGGGATGTTTATTCTCCTTCTCCATCACCAACACACAGAACAGCCAGTGAGTATTTTTATTGTAACTACCAAATGCCCTTAACTCATCAGTGAAAGACACAGGAGATCCAGTATGATTTTGTGTGTGTGTGTGTGTGTGGTATTGGGGATTGAACTCAGGGCCTTCACACTAAGCTCCAACCCTTTTCTATTTTACTTTACTATTTTTTTGGTACTGGGGATTGAATTTGGGTCCTTGTGCTTGCAGGGCAGGTGGCGGAACCACTGAGCTAAATCCTCAGCCCCCTTTTTAATTTTTTGAGTCAGGTTTTCACTAAGTTGTTAAGTTGTCCGGGCCTGGGCTTGAACCTGGATCCTTCTCCCTCACCTTCCCAGAGAGCTGGGATTACAGGCATGCATCATCATACCTGGCTTCAATGTGATTTTAATGAGTAACCAATTTTAGTATGATCCAAGCAATAAACTTGCTGATCCACTGATGGCACATGGGGTTACTGTTTCATGAAAATCCCATTCTGGAGAGTAGCTTTTTAGGTACGTCAGAGGAGCTGGTGGGATTAACTATAGTTGTAGCAGAGACAGAAGACAGAAATGAGATGTGTAGACTGGATCTAGTGGGTGAGGGCACAAATAAGACCAGTGGCTTTCACAGGTGCCAGGGAGTCAGAGGAGATCCTGGGAGAAGGGTGCAGAGAGGATTCAGAGATCAGAGCAGAGCACGGGTGAGAGACTTTGTGAGCTGGGACAAGCCATCCTCATGGGTGGGCACAGACTGGCCAGGAGAGGAGATGCTGCCATGCTGTCTTGAGCACCCTCTCTGCTCCTATGAATGACTTGGAAAGATGAGTTCTATGCCAGTCCACAGTCACAAATCTGTTCCAATTTCTTTTGCACAGGAACCCTGAACATTATCCTCGTGGGAAGGAGTGGAGCTGGGAAGAGTGCAACCGGGAACACTATCCTGGGGAGACAGGCCTTCCTCTCTCAACTCCGAGCCCAGCCAGTCACCCAGACATGCCAGAGTGGCAGGAGGACATTGGATGGCCAAGATATTGTGGTCGTGGACACCCCGTCCTTCCTGGCTGGTGATGAGAGAAACCTATCCTGGTTAGAGGAAGAAGTTAAACGCTGTTTGTCTTTATGTGAGGGAGGAACCAAGATCTTTGTCCTGGTGCTCCAGCTCGGATGGCTCACTCAAGAGGACGAAAGAGCAGTGCTGAGCCTGGAGACCATCTTTGGAGAGGATGTTATGAAATACATGATTGTGCTGTTCACCCGGGAGGAAGACCTCAAGGGCGGGAAGATTGAAGATTACACTGAGAACACAGATAACAAAGCCCTTAAGAGTCTAATTGAAAAGCACAAGGGGCCAGTTTGTGCTTTTAATAACAGAGGCACTGACCAAGCCCGGGAAGCCCAGGTGAAAGATCTTTTGAAGAAGGCCAATGACCTGAGAAAAAGTCATGAGGGGTCTGGGTATTTCTCTACATGGGAGAATATCAGCCAACAAATTAAAAATGCCCAGAAAAAGTACAGTTGCAAAATATTCATAAGGACTTTAAAAAATATGCTTCAGTAGGTAGCTGAAAGGTCTGGGGTCTCTTCATATTAGGAACATTGTCATGCTGGGAGTGGGGTGGGATAGGGTAGGACCAGTGGGATGGTAGGAAGGCCCATGGCGTTCATGGTTTAAGAGGCTAATCCATGCTACCTTGTGGTCCTGTGGATATTTGTAGGCAAATAAATAGTCAGGCTGGAGCAGGGAAGAGTGGATTGTAAAGGAGAAAGAGGGAACAAGGCAGAAGAATTTAAAAGAAAGGGTTTGAATCTGATGGAGTCAGGACAGATACCACGGCCAAGGCCCACACTGGCTGTGGCATCAGATTACAGATAGTTGCACAACAACCGTGGGATTCAGGCACAGAGAGCGGCACAATGTCCGGTGTGCACCTGGGCATGGCTGGTGTTGGAGCGACTCCAGTGGGCCTCTCTGCGGCCCAGTCTGTCCTCCAGGTGCACTGGTTCTTCGAGCTCCCTGGTTTCCTTTGGGTGAGGCCCAGGGCTGGTGTCCTCCTCTCCTCACAGGGTAGCTCCTTCTTCCAGCCCTCTCCTTCCATGCCTGATGTAAAGCAGGACACAGACTCCCCTTCCTTGTCCTCGAGAAAACGAATAGATCTTTGAAGTTTCAAGAGATTTTATTGCGGATTAGCACAGCAAAGTAGGCTAGAACAAACATTGGAAGCATAGTACAATTTGAAGTTAGCGAATCTTGCAAAATTTTAACTTTGATTCTACATTTCCTGTAGAGGTCATTGGAAACTCCTTTACACTTTCCTCTGCCTTTTTTTTTTTTTTTGGTACCGAGGATTGAACTCAGGACCTTGTGCTTTCGAGGCAGGCAGCGGAACCACTGAGCTAAATCCCTGGCCCTCCCTCTGCCTTTAAAAAGAATTCATAAATATTAATAAATAGGTTAAAACTCAGACAACTCAAATAATAATGGTTGAAACACACTCAGGGCTCATTGTATCTCATATCAAAAAGCCCATGAGCACTCAGTGTTGGGCTGGTCAGCATCAGAATTCCAGCTTGCTCCTGTCTTTCTGCCCAGCTTCGGTGGCACATGAACCCCGTGGTCGAGTGTTCCAAGGTGAGTGTTCTGTCCATGCTGAACAGGTTCTTTTGGAAGCTTCCGGAGGTGTGCAATGTGTGAAATCAGAACTATAGATTCTTCTCCCAGGGAGATAGGGAGTTGGATGTTTTCAATAATACCACTTTATTCATGCTTCAAGGACAAGAGCTAAGAGATAACTCTGTTATCTACTGTCTTTTCCCCTGACAACATTTGGTTACCTTCAAGATTAACTTATTTATAAGAGCATGGATTGTTACCATTAATACCCATAGGCGCCACCTATCTCTTAACATGGGAACTTCCTGAAAATGTGTGTGTAAATGTATTGAGTTCAATCAAATGGTAAGGATGAATAAGATTATGAATTTCCATTCTCTTCTGATCTCTTTTTTTTTCTGCCACCAAAAGAGCATGTGTCCATGGAGAGGCAATTGCGATGTCTTGAAGCAAGAGAGGCCTTTACCTTTTGAATGAGTGACAGTTACATGCGTGGCAGCCCTCTGTGGCTTACGGATCTCCCACACTGGATATTTTATCAGCACAAGGACAAATAAATATAACCGACATCAGAATCAGGAATATGAGAGGAGTAAATTCTGGAGGGCATTCTGGGCTTCTTCCTCTTTTGGTTGAAGGCAGGAACAAATGCCAGTGTGCCACCTGTGGCTGAGCAGGTGTCTCTGGGACCTGCACCAGGCTGGGGAGGCATAGGCTAAGCAGTGTGGCACCAGCTCCCAGGTAGGATCTAGTGTGCATGCTGTTTTCCAATCGCTCCTGAGCAGGCAACAATACTGCCATGTCAGTTGCTCTGAGAAGCACATGCTGAGAAATAGTGGGGGAGGAGTTTACTAGGGGTAATACATTAGAAAGACAAAAACGAGAAGAAGCAGAGTTGGGCAAGGAAAGTCGGGCTGTGACGCTGACCTGGTACCTGCAAAAGAATTGCAGGAGGAGCCATGCCAGCTCAGCAGCGAGCTCTGGGGCAGAGACTGGCAGCCTAGTCCTGCACCAGGGAGATGCTGGTAGCTCTACTGAGCTTGCCAAAGGATAGGAATTTCTTGGGAGGAGCATGGCTCTGGTTCCAAACCAGAGCTGAGAAGCACAAAGCTCTCCAGTGGGGAATTGGAAATAATGGTGGGCATGGCCTCTCCTGCTTCTTCTACCTATTGGTTCTTAAGTGTTCTTTGTCCTGAGCACACAGCACCATACAGAGGTTGCTGACTCAGTGATGCATCCTAGAAAGGGGCACTTACCCTCACTGAGGACGCCTCTCTGAGTTGGCAGGCCAGACTTGACCTTCCACTGTCTCCAGCATATGCATCTCAGCAAGGCCACGAGTATGCTGACCGCCTGGACATTTGACATTTCCTGGAGATAGTTTTGGATGTCCCTGAGGGAAATAGGGGCTGTTGGCATGTAGTCAGCAAACTCCAGGGATGCTGGTGGGCATTGTAAACCTGCTGGACACCCCTCACCCCAAGTGATCTGACCCCAAATGTCAGCAGTGCTGATGCTGAGAGAGCTAACGCATGCTGTTGAAGTGATACATTACAGACTGTCCAGTGGTTTGGATCTCTGGGTCAGAGAGTGGGAGAGGTGAGAGAGGTGAGCTACTTCTAAGCAAGTAGCTTCCACCTTCCACACCGTCCCTGTTCTGCCAGTGCGTCCAGCATGTGCTTGTTTCCACATTGGGCTGCCTTTCTCCTTCCTCACAGTAACCCTCTCGTTTCACTTCTCTGTCTTCCTGCATGGAGAAAGATGTGCCTAAGAATCTAGTTTTTATGGAGGATTTAGCTTCAAGAAAACAAAGTAGTTCCTGATTACAAAAAGATAGAGGATGCTATAAAGATTGGCAAAATTCCTAGAAGGGAGTAGTAGACCGAGTGATGGCATGCTCTGTGGAGTCCCTGAGCAAGCTGAATTCTTCAGTGAATCCCATGGCCACTTGGCTATGAGACCCTGTCTTCCTACCTCTGATAGAACCGCCGCTAACTCAGTAAAGACCCTCACCTCCCCGCACCATCCTCACAGTTGTCATGCCATGGAAACGTGGGCTCAGCCTCTCTCACTGGCTCACTGTTCTCCTCCCCAACCAACCAGGACATCAATGTGGCTGATCTCCCATTCTCCCGAGTGGCAGCAGGATATTCATGAGAAGCCTCTGTGCTCTTTTCTCTGACAATTCTCTTTACTCTTACATTTCCAAGAATAGACACAGGACATACTCAACAGACTGGTATAAAATCCAACTGTGAGCAGCATGGTACATTTCTCCCCTCAACCACACGCATTTCCTGTTTATTACTTGTCGCTTAACACAGTCTTCACCTAAGTCAGTGGCAAGCTTGTGTCTCCTACCCACACATTGAAGGACAGAGTAAAAGGGATCAAGGCTTGCCCATGAGGTCACATTGAAATAATAACTACAAATATTTTATTTTAGCTTTTACCTCACTGCTATTGTGGCACCGCAGACTCCCAGAAAGGTCCTGTTTTCCTTAGACATATTTCTGACTTTTTACCCAGAAGAAAAATTATATGCATTCCTGACAATTTCTTTTTTTTTCCCCAATATTGGGGATCAAACTCAGGACTTTACGCTGTGAGGCAGGCGCGGTGCCACTGAGCTAAATCCCCAGCCCCATTCCTGACGATTTCTATCACCTGTCATTGTGCTTACCTGCTTTTACTGTTCCTGAACTGGGTCCTTTTCTGTTGCTATTGGTCACTGGGACTACGGACTAGCATGCACGACCCTCAGCGCTATGGCCTACAGGCCCATTGGTCTATGTCTTCGGGATGTCAACCTTGCCAGGTTTACCAAGGACTGAGGCATTTACTATATACCACACTGCTTCTTCTTCTTCTGTTCCAACTGGGGCCTGAGGTTCCTGTGGCACCACTGTTGGCTCCACGGCCCCGTATCCCCTTCTTCCATAGAGTCCCATACCTGGCAAAATGTCATCATTTGACCTGTCTCATGTTCTTCTGGAAGACCACACTAGGAAAGTTTGTCTTTATTTGACCTGACTTGGTGCTTGCCTAGTACCAACAGTTTTTTTTCCCCATGGTTTCTTTTTGAAACCAATTTTTAAAATATCATGGCTGTATGAGGCCCTGGGTACAACTGTGGGAAGCAATAGATTAAACAAAAAGCTTAACGGGAAAAGCCATGGGAAATGACATTGCTGAAGACTTTGAAAAACTTGTACATATTCCTGGGAGTCTAGGAGTCCACAGAAGTACACAGAGCAATACACGACCAGGGCTGGGAAAATGCTCAGTTCAGACCTGAGAAGCCTCAAGATCTCATTTCTGATGATCTCAGTACAGAAAATGAATATTAAGGCAGAGCTGTAAGCTCCTGCTGAGTGTTGAAGGTGTGTCCCAGATGCACACAGAGCGTCTTGCCCCAAACTGGGAGATTCTAAGACTTCAGGAACTCTTGGTTCAGTCATCAGTTGATCACTGAACTCCCTGAGAAGACTCCTATGGCCACACATAACAAAGAATATGTTTGTAGAATTATCTCAGGAAAGTCACCAAACAACAAAACAAGAATAAGAGTGGGGGATTAGATAGCAAAGTAGCCACATTCTATTACTTAAGATGACAGGGACTGGGCACATAGCTCAGTGGTAAAGCAGTTGCATAGCAGGCATGAAGCCCTGGGTTTGATCCTTTGCACCACAAAAGTAAACAAATATTACTAAGCAGGCAAAAAAAATTAAAAAAATATTAAACACACACACACACACACACACACACACGCGCGCGCGCGTACCCTATCAGTAAAACTGTTCCCAAGGAAGCCCAGATGTTGGACTTCCTAGAAAATGTTTTTAAACTAGCTGTTTAAAATACATTTAAACATACAAATACATCTAAATAGAGGAAATCTTGTCTAAAAAACTAAAAGAAAGCATAATCACAATGTCTCACAAAATAGAGAATACCTATAAAGAGATACAAATTGTTTAAAAATAATAAAAAGAAACTCTGGAGTTGAAAAATATATAATAAGTGAAGTGCAGCTGAACAGCAGAACTCATCAAGTAGAGAAAGGAAAACAGCAAACTTGAAGAGAGGTGAATTAGATACACAGTCTGGGGAAAAGGATGCAGAAGAATAAGTCACATCAGAGACCTTTGGATGCCATCAATATGGGAACACACATCCGAGGAATCCTAGAAAGAGAGAAGAGAGGGAAAGTGGTCACAAGAATAGGAAACAATGGTTACAAACTTCTTAATGTGATGAAAAACATTGATCTACGCATCTGAGAAACTCCATGAGCTTTAGGGGGATTCAGAGATACCCTCACCTGGATACATTATAATAAGGCTGTCAAAAGACAAAGATAGATCTGGGTATAGTGGTGCACACCTGTAATCCCAGCGCTCTGACAGGCTGAGACAGGAGGATCACAAATTCAAGCCCGGCCTGGGCAACTTAGCAATTGAATGAGAACTTGTCTCAAAATTAAAAATTTTAATAAGAACCAGGTATGTGGCTCAACGTGAAAGCCCTGGTACAATCCCCACTGCAACACCAAAAAAGAAAAGGAAAAAAATAGACAAAGCATCTTGAAAATAGAAAAAGAGAAATGACTCATTACATACCAGAGGCCCTGAACAAGAATAACAGTCAGTTTCTCAACAGAAGCCACAGAAGCCAGAGAGTTCTGTGGCTTGATACATCCAAAATGCAGAAAGAAAAAAGACTGTGTACCTCAAATTCTTTATAGGAAAAACTGTTCTTCCAAAAGGAGGAGAAATTGACGTTTTCAGATAAAAACTGAAAGATTTCATTACATGTAGACTTACTCTACAAGAAATCCTAAAAGGGAGTCCTTTACATTAAAAAGAAAGGACAGTGGACTATAAATCATACCAACATGAAGAAATAAAGAGTATCTGTAAAGGTAATTTGAAGTGAAATGCAGCTTTTATTTTTAGTTCTTCTGCTTTGATTTTTAAAATTATATAAGATAATCCTTATACATCTCTGTTGATGAACATACAATGTATAAGGGTGCAATTTGTATGACAATAACAGTACAGAAGACGGGGAGAGAACAGAGCTACATTACAGCAAAGTTTTATATACAATATAAATTAGGTTGGAATTATTCTGAACTGGATTGTTACAACTGTTATAAGTTAAAATGTAAATCGTAATCTCCAGAACAATTACTAAGAAAATGTAAGCAGATCATATTTAAAATATTGTAAAAGAAATGACAAGGATATTAAAATAGCACACTAGAATATATCTGTTTAACACAAAAGAACATGGTGATAGAGGAATAGAATAAAAAAAGCAGAAAGCCAATAGCAAAATGGTAGACATATACTCTATTTTATCAGTAATTACATTATATACCAATTCTGCATGATATATGTATTTATTATGTATTGCAGATGCTATGAAAATGAATGTTACATGGCAGAGACTGACAGTATAGATTAAAAAGCAAATACGATCTAACTTTCTTCTGTCACAGAAGACACACTTTTTTTTTTATTAGTACCTGTGTGTAGTTCATATGTTTAGATT